TTTATTGGCTTCTGTGTTTTTTCCTCTCCACACCCAGTGTTTACTTTCTGGTTCGCTTGAAAATAAACATTCAGTTGTTAGTCAGCGCTGTGTTTGTGCACTTCTACTCGTCCTTCGTCGGTTTTTCCTGCGCTGTTCCCACCTATTAAGAAGCCCCCAAAGCCTTTCGCAGTGGTCCCATATGTTCACGGCATTACTCATCGGTTAAAAAAGATAGCCGGCCGACAAGGCATCCACGTTGTGTGCTCCGCCCCCAACAAGGCATACGCCATGTGCCGTAGGGGGAACCGGAAAACCGCCCAGAACGGGACGACGACCCGCAGCACTGCGCACCGAAGACCCTACGCCCCATGCGAAAAAGGAGTTGTTTACAAGATCCCTATGTCATGTGGCAAAAGCTACATAGGGCAAACAGGGAGGTGCATCAACGACTGCACCAGAAAACATGCAGCCTCTGTGACCGCACTAACGTCGGCGGGCCACTTTTGGGCACATTGTCGGGCCTGCAAATGTGCTCCTGATCTCACAAGCGTTACCGCCTTAGCAAAACACCGAAAGCAGCTTGGAAGGGAGCTCCTTGAGGCGTTGAGGGGGAGGAAGAATGTGTGAGTGTTGCCTCCATTGCACTCTTGCCCAAAGAAAAAATGTAACTGAGGAGAGCAGCACCTCGGATGAACCAAGCTGGGACCTTGTGACTCCAAGATCCGACCGAGTAAAACGAGGGTGACACCACCGGAAGTATAGACGATTGCAAGCTGGGCAACTGGCCGCCGCCATGTCTCTGCTCAAGCAGGCACGCCCGTGCGATTACGGGCTTGCCAAAGCTGCGTTCACCCGTGCGTTGCACGCGCTTGCACGCATGGGGCACCACTTGTGGCGCCATGCTTGCAATTGTCTATAAAAGACAAAAGGAAGTTTTTCAAGATCCGAAAGTCGAAGAAGAGGAAAACTCCACGGATCGTGAGGAGAAAAAGGAAGTTTCTGTCTAAGCTCTGACTGAAGAAGAAGCTACTCTTTTAGGATGGGGAAAGTCAAAGAAGAGAAAACACGGTTCGTGAGGAGAAAAAGGAAGTTTCTGTCTAAGCTTTGACTGAAGAAGAAGCTACCTTTTAGGATTGGGTTGAGGGAAAGGAAGTTCATTTAAAGGGTTGATAGTCCAGCAGTGTGTTTCTTTCTCTCTTCGTCGCTTTTCCTAACGTTCAGCTGGTAATCAGTAAGTATTCTAAGCTTCACATGTAACCACTTGCCTGAGCAAACATTGTTGTTTGTCAAGACTCAGGAACAATTGCGATTGTATGAAATCACGTGGAAAAACTCGTTATAAGCACGCGACCGTTGGCATGCAGTGAATACTCATAATCGGCACCGAGATGATTGGTAGCTGTCAGGAGGTGCAGTTTTTCTATCAACCCAGGGTTAGAATGTTTCCTTCTTTCTGTTGTCAGCAATCAATAGACAACTTACACCAAATTTGGAGGTAATAAAGTACTACGAGCATTCAAACATATCGGCCTGAGCAGTATATGCGTACAAGCTTTAGCTTTTGATGCACCTTTAACTGTCGATATGGTCAACGCTAGCGTAAAATGTTGGACTGTTTCATTCTTAATCAGCGTACCATGTGCGTGCTTACACTATATTTATACAACGTCAAGCTCTACCCGTTTGCACCTTTTTCATTTTTGCACACCACTACTTGCGTGCGTAAATCACCAAAGTAAGACTGGTACAGGACGTCACAAAAAAAAAAATTGCAGGTTTTTTTGTTTGTTTTTTTACCGCAAAAATGAACTATGCCTCGCCGAACGCTCATTCTCGACCCAGAGGTAGCGCTAGACGTCATAACCAGATGCCAAAGTTTCAGCTCGAATGGACACCTGATTCAAAAGTTAAGAAGTGATTTTCTGAAAATTTCAATGGGATTGGAGCCTATTTTTGCCCGTTTTCGATTTCTGGTGCCCACAGAGCCCCATATATTCAAAAACTCCGTCGACCGCCATTTTCCCATTGAAATTTTCAGAAAATCTCTTAAAACTTTTGAATAAGGTATCGGATATGGCCGAAACTTTAGCATCTGGTCGTGACCTCTAGCGCTACCTTTGGGCGGAGAATGAGAGTTTGGCGATGCCTCGTTTATTTTTGCAATAAAAAAAAAAAACTGACTTTTTTTTTGCGACACCCTGTACATCGCTTAAACTATGTGTAAAAGGTATCCACAAACCCAGAACCTTTGCCTGGCCACGGCCGGACTGGAAGCGCGCGCTCTCTTTCTCTTCTTACGGCCTTTGCAATTAGGGCAATCGCCACCTCCCACCGCAATTCGCGGGGGGCACTGTCACCTCACATCTGACCTACCCCTTGCCGTTTGCACAGAGTGCGTCTGACAGTGTATCTTAGCACTGTTGCAACTTGCGGCCAAGATTTTTATAGCCTTTGACACCTGATCCTTACGTTTAGACCCCCAGCCACTATCTAATGCAATTCTGATGAGCCCAAAACGGTGAATATTTGACGCACATCTCCGAGAGATTCGGGAGTAAAAAGTTGTAAGTAGAGACGGCCAATGCAATAGCGGAAAAACTATACTCGTCTTTACCTCCAGGACTTCTGTTGCAACTCAAGGACAGGAGGAGACGGACGCCTTCTACGGGGAGGAACTTTAGATGATAAATAATTCGTACACTCTCGTGAAATGTAAGCAGGCCCAATCTATCTATTGCCGTGGTCTGCATCATCATTTCATATAGGCCGCTCATGAAGTCGGTCAGCTGCTCTAGACGAGGGTGTAGTAGTCTATACAATTTTCACACAGTGCATATTACAGCCTGAAGTGCTTCCTCGAGGGCTTGTGCACATATCCAGCTGATTTTTCGTTTCTGTCCGTGAACGTCTTTGCATGGTTAATCAGAAGTATTCCGAGGAACCGTTGCCAAAACAACAACCTACGCAGCTCGAACACCAGCGCAAAGCAGCTCGAAGGGACTCTCCGAGTGGGGTGAGGTGGTTGCGCCCCTGGCGTCAAACAAGTGAACTACACATGGAGAAAAAATGCCATTGACTCACGGGCGATTGCAAAGGCCGTAAGAAGAGAAAGAGAGTGCGCGCTTCCAGTCCGGCCGTGGCCTGGCCAGTCATTGTATTTATCGCTGAATTCGTATTGAAATTAATTCTTGTCATTTATTGCTGCGAGTTAGTTTTTAACCTCGGCATTTTTTTATTATGATTCCCGCACGAGTCTTACTTTGGGTTTAACAAACTCAACATCTAAACCTGAGTATCTTTTTTTTTTTTTGTGTTTTCCAGTTTTGTGGTTTTGGTCAAAATAAATACCCAGCTACCTAAAGGAGACACCTGACCGCCCAAAAATAGTTTATTTTTTATTTTTTTAGGTAGTTAATTCCTCAAGCTAGAATTTTGAAAACCCAAGTCTACCACGTCATCATGCACGTTTTCCTGGAAATCCACAAAGAGCCAAACACATAGCCAGCCGGCAACAGCCAGGCGGTGTTGGCAGAGTGAGAGACCACGGTTATACCCTGTCTCGTTGTAACTTGGCGAAGGGTGAACAATAAGCTCCACATTGCATGCCGAAGGCCTTGAAATGCGCGGCGTATACGAGCATAACGCACACATATTTGAGCATGACAGTAAAAAGCCTGATACTTCTGCGGAGTAGAGGTGCACTCCGGCGATACGCAGTCACGTTCCCATTGGCCCGCCAGGGCCGTAGCTTCCGCTGTACTGGCATGTTATGCGATCACGGCCTCCTGGGATACCCAGTATTTCTTGCTTCAGACACTACGCTATGCAGCGCCACCAGAGTAAAAGCTCACGTGTGAACAATGCAGCCGCCACTCCCAGGGATACCCAATATTTCTTGCTTCAATCGCTAGATGGCGCCAAAACAAACAGCATTGCAGGTTGCCTATGCACGACAAAAGGGCCGGCCCGTCATATTGCCGCCCGCAGAGCCGAGAAAGCAACGCTCAATCACGGACTTCTAGAAGATTCGCATTCATTCTGGCACCAGACGTAAATTTCGCCCTGCTTTCTTGTTTTCTCGAAAGTGCCAGTTCATCCTCGCCTTGAGAGCGCAATGCTGGAACCTTCTTTGCCAAACTTTCGATATGGTGACGCACTGTAGATAAGCAGCTGCCCGCGACCTTGTCGAGTCAGTCTCGCTCTCTGTTACGCTGCCGAATCGCCGCCTGCTTTTCTGCTGCCTCGACACTCTTTCTTTACTTTTTTTGTTTGGCACAAGTTTGTTGATTAAACCTTTATTTTTCAGTTCACTGTTTGCCCTCTCGTCACCTTCATTCGTGTCAATATAAATCTGATGCATTAAAATATGTGTGATTGGCCTCTGAAATCTCCGATAACGGCACACAGGCAATTTTATATTTTTCAGCGCGTCGGTGGTTCTGTTGTGCCACTGTTGTGTCTCGCCATTTGGCTCAGGACGATTTTCGAGTTTCGTTATGCCCACATTTGTTGAAGAGGTGAGCTCGGAGTGTAGGCAACTGGCCCCCCTGCACGAGAACTGGCGCAGCCTTGCGCGTTCCAAAGGAAGCTCGCGCAGAGAAAAACAAGCGAAGGACTAGGGATGTCCAGTTCAGGATATAAAAAAATACCCCTCTGCATTGAAGCGCCACCACACACGATTTCTCGCATTGATGTACAGGCCTGGAAGGCGATCGGACCCACCGCCATTTGTTGGTTCAGAATCACACTAACCAAGGGTGGGGTTGCACCTTGGCCACTCGTGACACTGGGTCTTCAAACCGACATCGTAGGCAATTATTTGTATACAAAGCTGCGTCATCTTGGGATGGCAGAAGAAATATCAGGGTAGACGCCTGCCACACCTCGCCTCCCCTTGGCGCCGTCCCCGTGAACAAACACAGCGCCGACTCGAGGCTCAAACTACGGCGTTTTCTAACCAACTCCGTCCGAGTACATCCCCGTGCGTTCAGTTAGTGGCTGGCCGGGTGGCAACTTACCAAAAAGGTGGAGTCCTTTTCAATGAAGATGCTCCCCGGGTAGCCTTGGAGAGCAAACAGAAGTTCGTGCAACATAGCTCGCGCCTTCAGTTACCTCAGCTGTCAAGAAGCGCCGCAACTTTGTTTCTGTGCTTCCTGGCTCGCTCCATTTTGTTTCCAGCGCGTGTCATAGAATGGATGGATAGATAAATATTGTATGTACCCTTCATATTTGGTGGTAGCTAGCGCCATCTAGCCTAGTTTAGATTTCCCATTTAAAGGGACACTGACAGGGTGTTTATGTTCGCCGAGGTTTTTAGTGGGACATGACATATGAGAGCCCAACTACCCAGAACACAATTTGCGACTTGAAATTCGGTTTCTTTCCGCCCGGAAACCGCCGATCAAGAACTTGCCGGTTCGAGTCTCGCTCACTCTCTTTTCCGTGGTCACGGGCACGGCACTCCTGGACACGCGTGCCCACTCGCGGCGTAACGCGAGTTCGTTTTGGCAGGCACTTCACGAGTGATCGCACTCTCCGAGTTCGTTTCAGCGGCGGCACCCACCAGACCCCACGCGTGCATGCACTCGAGAAAATCGGGTTTGCGCCGAAATGCAATCCCGTCATGCCTCGCTCCGGCGAGGCCGGCGAGGAGCGGGAGCAGACGACGAGGGTTCGTCCGCTACGATGTGTCGCGGGACCGAAAGAGAAAAAAGTAGATTTTCTGATAGAAATCGCGTCCTGCGGGCAACGAAATCAAACGCGAGCTTGAATTGTGAGCGTCTGCTATTTCATGAAGGAAGCAATTGACAACCTGTGCTTTATTTGGAGGTTTTAAGTCGCTCTGTTGCCGTACAGACGCTGAAATATACCAGTGTGTCAAGGAATGCTCGGAACAAACGCATCAGCGGCCCGCGAGATATATTTAGAGTAACGTACGCAATTTTAGCGCACGCTAGCGCTAAATATAGCGCTCCGTCGCGACGCAAAAGCCCAGCCATCTCGCGCTTGCGACGCCACCAAAATAGTCACAATTTGTATTTCACACACGAAATGCTGTAACTTGAGAAAAAAACAAGGGGTCCATATCACAAGAGCGAATAACATTTTAGCGAACGGTGACATTTGAGCGAATGGTCGTTTTAGCGAATAACGGGGGCGCGCGTTAAAGGGACACTGACACCCCCCAAAATTTTTTTTTAATTTTTTGCCAGGCGCTTTATTATGGTGTCGAGGGGCTACCCAATTAATATTTTGCAACAGAGTAGCATATTTTTTTAATAAAGCCAAAAGACGCAACTGCTCGAAACCGAAACCGAAACCCGACGGAGGTCGGAGAAGTGGAGAGAAGAGAGTGAGTGGCGGAAGTCACGTGGCTACACCCGACCGTGTTCTTTTTTTTTTTTTTTTTTTTCTCTCCTTCCCGGTAGCAGACGACATGCGGCGTACGGGAACTGTTCGCCGTGGGATTCTTTTGCAGTTATGTATGTTCCGCTCGTCGTTCTGTACTCCAAGATGAGTTGTTTTGTACATTGAGGAGTAGGAGATGAGTAGTGAGTGCCCTTGGTGAATTTTGATCGGCTCCGAAAAGAATACACCCAAGATGTTGCGTGAAGAGCTGGCTCACATGTCCTGCGTCCGAAACAGAAGTGGCATTGTGCGACAGAGTTTCCAAAAGATCAACGGGATCGGGACCAATGGCTGGCTGCGATTCCTGTGGACCATTTACGGGCACCTCGGAAAGCGGACGCTGATTTATATGCTCCTTGCATTTTGTGGAAAGTGATTACATTGAGTTCGCAGGTGTCAAAAAGGAAATCCCATACCATTTAATTCAGCGACGTGTCGTCCACATTTGTTTCTTATTTTTTTTTTTCGTTTGTTTCTTCAATGATAATTGTAAAAAAAAAAAAAGAAATGTAGACATTAAAAAATATTTGAAAAAAAAAAAAGTTTCATAGGGGATCGAACCCGGTCCTACCGCGTGTAAAGCGGACGTCTTTCCCACTGAGCTACTGGGGGGCATACCGAAAATGTGGGATCTTTCTTTGGTGATAATTCAGCCAATAAACTGTAAGTTGGAAAAATTGCTGCCGATTTTCCTCTAGCAAAAGCACTCCCGGGTCGAAGTCGGGATGCACCACGCATTGGCGACATTCTCACCTAGTAAAGAAATCGTACGCGTGCATATTCAACTCGAAGTAGACACGTCGTGCTTGACGTTTGCGCGAGCGATGTCTTCAGCCACGAGAAGGGAGCGACGGCTCGGCGACGTCTTCGTGCAAATCGGCTTGGTGGTCGGGCGTGTCGTACGGGATGAATAGCAATTCTTTTGATCAGTCCCAAATTTCTCTTTTAAAGGCAGACAAAATTCGCCGGTACCGCGAACGACAGTTCTGAAATACAGGTCCCACGCCCGTCGTCCGCTGCCATCGCCGTCCCTGCGAGTCCCACGATACGCGAAACGACGCACGCACAGAATGCTTCCGGTTGTCTGTGGAACTTTTTTTTTCAATCAACGCCGATCAAGCTTTTTAGAAGCCACAAAAAATGGGTTTCATGTTTTTTTCTATTTTTAATATTGAGCGTGTGCCTTCAGTGACCCACGACTTTGATTAAATTTGGTGGTCGCATCGATACCTTAGAAAACGGCCCGTGACCGCGGAAAAGAGAGTGAGCGAGACTCGAACCGGCCAGTTCTTGATCGGCGGTTTTCGGGAGGAAAGAAACCGAATTTCGAGCCGCAAATTCTGTTCTGGGTAGTTGAGCTCTCATATGTCACGTACAACTAAAAACCTCGGCGAGCATAAATACCCTGTCAGTGTCCCTTTAACCCATCCGTCGCGCTGCGCTTTACGCCGCTTCGCGGCGACAGTCTGCGGCAACTCATTAGTAAAATATGAACTCACTTGGCCCACCCGAAAACGCCGCTTCGCGGCGTCCGACTATTCGCTAAAGTGTCATTCGATGAAACGTGGGCGTTCGCTCAAACGTCATTCGATCAAATGAGTGCCTCCCCTGTCCGCTTGCGTCGCCTCAGCAAGAGAGGTCTCGTGTAGTGACCTTCGCACATCGTACCATCGCCGAGAAATGTTCGCGCGTCACAAGCATCAAGCTGTCGGTGATCGTTGCCAAACCGAGTACTATGTCGTCCCCTATTGAAAATCGCAGTCGCGAGGATGTCGCCGACGTCGCACTCACGAGTCACGACGCCGCCGAAGCAGCCGCTGAAATAATCCTGGAAACCGCCATTTTCTTTAACTCTGCTTGTCTTGGCTTTAGCCAAGACAAGCAGAGTTAAAGCTCCGAACGCAAACCAGCAAAAGCTGGTTTGCGTTCGGAGCGTGCGCAGTGGCGACGACGCTATTCTTTGCGTACGCAAAGCTTTAGCGTGCGCTATTCTAAAACTCCCTAGGCAGTTTGATACTTTAGACCCATATATTACGGATAAAAAAAATAGGACGCGGGATGGCCAAAAAAACGCGTTATTATGAGGCGCTGGAGAAATGCAGCCTTCTGCGTTAAGTCCTTATTTCGAACTGTTTTTGTTAGCCTTCCGCCCATTGAAAAGCATGCGGGAAGGGCCTTAGAACCAATACCATCTAGAACACAAGGCCTGCGCGTTTCCTCCTCTAAACGTCATCACTAGTAGATCCCCTCAGCGCCCCCTAGCTAGCCCGGATGTGCAACATCGTCTGCTACATCGTCTGCTCCATCGCCTGCTTCGGTGGTTTGTGTAACAGATAATGAAACAGATGCTCACGAAGAGTGCCTCTTGGAAATAGCATACGATGAAGTTAGACGTTCACGTGGAGCGTCAAATGCATGAGTGAAATTGCCTTACTGCTGCGCGAAGGGCTGAAAAGCCCTTCGTTGGACGATGGACGCTGACACTGGACCCAATTTTCGAGGGCGCTGTTTATACCCCGGGTAGCTGCTTCGAAACGCTCTACCGCAGAACGAGCGTGCGCGCTAGAAATGCGCGTCTCAAAGCCAGGAGCGCGTGCTAGCTCGCGCTCCTGGCCGAGGGAGCGTTCGCGTGCACGTCGCAAATGCACTGGAAGCTCGCTATCAGCTCGCGCTCAGCAGTCACGCACACAGCTGCGGCCGCAAGTGAATGCGACGTAGTTGCGACGCGGCCCCTACTCTCGTCAAGCTTGGGTGTGTTTGCCGCTTGGGGCAGGTCGGGGATCTACTAACGAAACGTCATGCGCAGGCCTTGTCTTCTAGGTGGTATTGTTAGAACGCACCTGGTATCGCTGCGCCGTAGCGTTCTTCCGCATCATAAAGTTCGTCTGCTTTCCTCGCCGTCACCATGGCAACGAACTCCGAATGAATAGAAGCACGCACGGTACCGCCGCGTGAAGCTAGCAACAGCTGACGCCATTTTACGAACGCCGTCTGCTAGCCAAAGCCGAACGCGGTGTGTCAAATCAACCACCTCCGCCGGTGTGCCGCTAGCGAAGACGACGAAGCTGAGACACGCCGACGGCGATCGAGCAAGCAACAACACCGCGGGACGACTGCAACAGCGGCATTTATTCGGATCAAAGGCCGCCTTCGCCGATGCGCCGCTAGCAAAGACGACGAAGCTGAGCCACGCCGACGGCGAATGGGCGAGCAACAGCACCGCGGGACGACTGCAACTGCGGCATTTATACGAATCAAAGGCGCGAAATAAGCAAGAACAATTTTTGTTTGAATCATAACACGCGATATCCAAGTTGGGGACCACATATCTTTGCTGAGTCTTTCCTGTGAACTTTTTACAGAGACACGGGGTGCCGCATTCGAAACACAGCTCCGTTTGCAAAATATGGGGGCCCTGAAAAGGGCCGTTTAGACCGCTACCAGAACCTATAACTGACGTAACGAGCACTTGACGAGCGGTTGGCGCATAAGGCGTCTTTGTGCACGCCGGCGGGCGACGGGCTCAGCACAGCGGATCACTCAAAGACACCTGGGCCGTCAGAATCCTCGTCCTCCGCACAATTGGGAAGGTCCCTCTCTGCGTCGGGGCTGTAGATTTTGGCGGCCGCGGCGACGAACGACTGGAATCTATCAGTGTTTCCGCGCGCATTCTCTCTCCTCCAAAACATGAACTTTGCAAGGTGACCAGTGAAATAGTGGCTCTCGCGCCGTCCAAATGAAGAGTTTTTGACGTGGGCCTAGGTGCCCTCCACCGTATTAATGTGCGCACCAGTGT